TCATTGGAACATTCTAATAAATTCCAAATGTGGTTCCAATGAAATTCAATTACAGTGTTCATACATACGAATTTTATTGGTTAATATCAATTGAAAGAATCCTACATTGGAAAAGTTAATTGATCCCATTCAACAAAAAGACAAAAAGAACACAAAGGAACAAGGAATGAAATGTAACACAATAATAATAATAAACGTAAATGTGTTACAAAGTAGCCTAAAATTTAAAAACGGAAATAAGGTTTAATCGTCGGAGTGGTATTTGTTTTAGTAATAAGCAAAAAGTTTAAACTAAACTTTACTTTTTTACTAAGCAAAAACTTTACTACCCATTGTCAACACTACACTGAATAATCAACACTAAAACTAGGCCTTGTTAACTGTAACCGTCCACGCACGAGGCTTCACGCGTTCTTAACTGCAATCCTCCGGTCCTACACTTGCTCGCCAAACTATAAAATATTACCGTTTATTACCAATTAACATTTATTAACAAAGTCGTTATCACATATTAAAATAATTGTTGTAAACAAACGTACTGCTGTTAAAAGAAAATTAGTTTAAGGAGTATTGTAAAGAGACCAAATCAACCAAGTTTTTAAGCGGCTAAAGAAAAATAAATAAATAAAAAGGAATTTTAGAAAACTTTTGTTACTTTCTAAAGGTCCCAGTTATTTATTGTAAATCGTGTATTTACAGATCGCCGAAACCTTCAAGGCACAAGAAAGAGGCAGTAAGCAAAGAATTGCTAAATAAATTCGTAAAATAACTTAATTGACTAATATTGAATATAAAAGCTTGCAACTAATCGACGAGTGTTGCTTGAAAGTTAATCCGAATTCGGTCATAAACATAAAACACTCGTATTAACCTTGTAGTATTAAAGAAAAAGGTATGTCATGCCGCCTTCCTTTTTGTAGTACGCAACATAAAGTGTCTATGCTATTTAATATGGACTAATTTACCTTTTTACATTTTGCCTGTTTATCTCCTTTCCTTTTTTCTGACAATTAAATTTTGCTAAGATAAAGATGTCATATAATCTCGTTGTTCTTGGAGATATTAATGTTGGAAAGGTAACAAGATTTGGCTTTTTTAAAAAAAACCATTTGTTTTTATTTAAATAATAAATTTGTTTTATCTTTCATTTAATTAGACTGCACTCATAATTCAGGTATACGTTAAGCTATGGTATATTGTTGGTGAATTTTTAAACAATACTTATCTCTTGCTACTATTTTTTATTGACTTATAAAACTTGGTTAAATTATTTTGTTGGATGTATTTTTCAAATTTATAGATTTTCTTTTTATCATGAATTCTATGCATTAAAACTAAAAAATAATCATTATCTCTATTTGATTTGAACACAGTGACCCTTTGCCTATCCAATATTTCATTTTATTTTTAGACCTATGACCCGACAATTGTAATTTCATATAAAAAACAAACAATAATTGATGGTCAACCCTGTGTAATATATGTGCTGGAGACTGCAGGTCAAGGTGATCCTTTGTTACTTGTTATAATAAATTGAGGACAATTAAACATTTATTTATTATTATAATTATAACTATCTTTTTTTTTAAAAAATAAAAGGGGAG